ACCACACTCTAAAACACGGCTGGGTGACCGATTGGATACCCTTCGCTCCGGTGGTGATCGATTTGACCCACTTGAGATCTCGAGCTCCTAGCATGCTGGTAGCATCGAATTCACAGGGTGTATTGGCCTGTACGTAAAATCCCTTAGGTGAAAGTTTGAGATTCCTAGGTCATAGCCTTCGGGTCAAATAAGGTCAAACAAGGTCAAACTCCAGTCTAGTCTTCAAAGTGCTCCAAAACCTAGTTACCTACTCTAAGCAAAATGTCGCATGGTCAATCAAGGTCAATGACCTTGTTTGGTCTTTCGAAGCCCGTGGTAACCACAATTATACAAGACTGCTTTGAGTTTTGCATTTGAATAAGCGAAAAAGACTGCGACAGGCAGTATGTTTCCAAAAGCAAAACGTTAACCTGAGTCAGTTTAGGTCATTGAGCTATTCTGGCCTTTGAGAAGCCCACGGGAGATGTATAGGGCGGTTCCTGTTATCAATCAATTCGAAATGGGCACCAGAAATTACCTCACACAGCCAACCATAGTGTGATAAAACAAGTCGGTTTTTACCTTAGTATTACCTTCATACCTGACGCTTTATCAATGGATTTTGTTTATTCTTAGAAAACATCTCAGAGATGTATGGCCTTGTCGAGCACTCCGTTGTTGCATTAAATTGAACGATTGCTTAGAAACTGACTTCGCTGAATCCGTGGTCTGACTTTGACCTGCCGTAGGTCAGCGATGTTACAGGGTACATCTAAATTCTGGATATAAAACGATCCGCTATTTGATTGCCTGCAGCTATGCAAAGTTGGCGCAGCTACGCCGGGCCGTTCGAAAATCATCACGGAAAACCTTTGGAGGGGGGGGGGGGGGAATTTATACCCCACCCGAGCGCGTGTTAACACACGGTCTGGCTGGTTGGGGTCAATTTGCCTCCCCAAAAGTCTTTCCAAACTTACTTCCGAGTAGCGCAGCGCAGTCGCGTAAAACGCTGTGCATCTGAATAGCAAATGAGTGGTCAGCCTTTTGGTGTGTAAAGTACCAAAATATATGGTCTTGTAATGTTATTGACCTATGCCAAGCCAAATTCGGGCTATGTCTGTCAGCGGAGAAAATTCCAAAATAATCTTTCAAGACAGACTGACAACGTAGTGCTAGACCAAGTCGTATAGCCTGAAAATAGCGTGTCATAGGCAATGATACTATTAAAATTAAGATAAACTAATTACATTGGCTTTGTGTCGGGTATATAGGTAAGATTGAGGTCAAAACGAAACCGTTTTTTATAAGAAAACTTGCTTTCGCAGGCAATTTTGACGATTTATTTCAAGTCCTGGATCACAACGACTTCAACAAATTTCGTATTTTAAGGCCATAGAAGTAAGAAAAGGTTAATGACTTAAAATAACCTCGAACAACCTTTCGCTTGAAGAGCATGTCTCCTAAGCCAATATTTGGCGCCAATTTCTTTTCAAATATCGGAATAATCTCGTACGATATTGCCATTTTCACCCTACGGTCAAATATGCTCACTGACCGGATATCAACACCAGTGGCATATTGCTTATAAGAGGAATGTGGGTTAATGCTGGTTTCGTGAGGAGAGATGAGAGCGCTTCGGACACCGATGTGGAGTTTGAAACTTATTTGACCTTTGGTCTGACCTGGTCACTTTCTCAGGTTCTCAGAATTTCACAAACGAGTTCACCACTAGTTTACCTAATGTGCGGATTGGGTGTTTCTAGCTCTCTTCATTTTTTGAGATCTCTTGACATCAGCCTGCCCCCCCCCCCCTCCCCTCCTCCGAACACGACGCATTCAAGCAGCCACTAGGGCGTGTGTTAAATGTTATTGGGGCTATGGTACTATTTTTGGTTTTGGTTCTGTTTGATACCATCTAATATGGTAAAAACTCGAACTTAGTCTAATCTGCCCAAAGGCCACTGGAGTTTGAACGCTTCTGACGCCAGTGTTGGTTACGCCCATCCATGTCACGTGTGTTTGTCTGCTTGATCGCTATGCTGCCTTCGACCTTGTAATCCCGAGCTGTTTACCCAGCGTACCGTCCGAACCAGCGTTTGCATTGAGTGACGCACGGGCGTCGTTAGGCGGCTTGCCTCGTGGTATTTATGTGTCGTGTATGGCGCCTTTGAGTTATTGCTTGCCTCGTGTTATGGTACCAGTTTGAGGTTTCTTATTTGCTCTGGTACGGTATGGACTAAGCAAAGCTAACCTTTCATGACAATTTCCATGATGTTATCTGTTATTCCTCTGACTTTTGACCTCATTGATTAAGTCGAATAACATCCAGCATACCAATAGGTCTGAGACGTTCAGCCTTCCAACAGCCACCACTCTCACGCCTCATCCGACGGCCACCGGCGCTGGGCATCAGAGGCGTGCCATTGCAACGGCGGATTTCAGCTGCGTTGGCGTGACCATCAACACTTGTGCATTATATACGTCATGCCGGTGGGCTCCCACGCCCTGGATTTCCGGCTCAAATCGTCGTGGCTGCATTTAACCTCGGGACGTGGCGGTATGTGCCACCCATGGTCATGTCAACATACATTACACTGCATATCACCGCGGCGCCCGCATGGCCTTTTAACTTCATCCGGTCCAATCATCAACAAATAGTTTACTTTATTTGCTGAAGCATCATCTAATTGCAGTTTTCGCACATCATGAGCATCCTAAAAAGAACAACTTTGAGGGTAAATTTATGCTGCGTACCGCAGCTCACACCATTCCAGCAGTGTGGCCGCCTTCAATCAGCTCACCTGTCCTCGGTCGGGCCGGCAGCAGCTCGCATGTCCTCAGTCCGACCGGCAGCGGCTCACCTGTCCTCGGTCCGGCCGGCAGCAGCTCACCTGTCCTCAGTCGGGCCGGCAGCAACTCACCTGTCCTCAGTCCGGCCGGCAGCGGCTCATCTGTTCTCAGTCGGACCGGCAGCAGCTCACCTGTCCTCGGTCCGGCCGGCAGCGGCTCACCTGTTCTCGGTCCGGCCGGCAACAGCGGCGGTCCTGGCTCTCTGCCCGCGCGACCTACGCCTTGACTCGGTCCTCCGGCTGGCGCGCGGCCCAGGGACAATCAGCAGGGCGCGGCGGGGTGGCACGCCTGCCCCTCCCCGGCCGCGAATCACCGTAGAGCGGAACACCGGCCATCCGGGCTCGATGTGACGTGTGAAGCGGCGCGTGTGACGCCAGTTCACCCAGAACGCGACGTCTGACGATCAACCACAGTATGGAGCGGAGCCGTCCAGCTCGCACCGCCGCTGCCGGCTGCAGCAGGTCCTCGCGTGACATTTCGAGCAGGCCTGCAGATAGGGGCATCTGCCACGCGTTTTTGACGTGCATGAATCGGGCCTGCCTGAAGCCTGAGCCGACGGCAGTGCACTGCAGCAGTTCTCAGCCTGAAGTCCCGCATATCAATCATACCAAAAGTGCATGCACTAGGGAAATCAACAGGGTTTTTGTCAGGCTTTCAGGACCCAAATTACCTGCTGCCCATGGATTTGTGACTGATCTAGTTCCAGAAGTCGTAGCAAGGGCAAATCTAGAATTTTGCCAGGGGTGGGGCGTAACATTTTGTCTCCCTAGAGTTTGGGGCCCTTTCCCAAAAAATCCTCGCATTCCGGCTTTTGAATTCCGTTCCGTGCCTCGGCAATAGCGTATAGAGCCTTTCGGATGAATGTGAAGAATCCGCGGATGACCCTTGACCGACTAAGATTGCCCAGGTATATTAGAAGATATAATAACCCTACTATGATGGGGCCCTCATTCAAATAGGAAGTATCTAAAAGCCAATGTTCAGGACCCGCGAACTATCGAGTATACCCCAGCAGGTGAACAGATGTCCACGACAAGAGTGTCGGGGCCATCTGTTTTTCCTCTCCAATGAAAAAATAAGTATCCAAGACCCAATGCGGGGGGCCCAAACGATGGAGCATGCACGAGCGAGTTAACGGAAGTTAACCCGCTCGAGTAGGGTCCCGTCAAAAGTGTAGGGCCCTAAAAAGCTCATAAGACGTACCCAAGACTGAACGTGATGGGCTCCCGAACGATCGAGTGTGCCCGAACAGCTTAACAGATGGGGCCCCCGACAAGAATACAGAGCTTTCCAAGGAAATTAGACGCAACCAAGATCCGATGTGAAGGGCCCAGAGCAATCGTGTGTGCTCCAGCAGGTTAACATGTGGGGCCCTCGACAAGAGCTAAGAATCCTCCACAACTGCCTAGGAATTGGAAGGGCCCTAGCCCAATATAGAGGGACCATGAGTGCGCCACAAGTTTGTCGGTAGGTTACCGAAACCAACGTGAATGGCCCCTGAGCAACCTAAAATATGCCGGCATTTTAACATGTAAGGCCCCAGTTGTTGCTCATAGAGCCTTTCGGACGAATGGGAAGCATCTGTAAAAAGCCCTGATCGACAAGAGTGCCCCGGCATACCAGCAGAAACGACCCCGACAGCAGCGTGGGCACTCCGACCAAGTGTAAAGAAATCAAGGGCAGCGTGGAACGTTCCCTAGCGATCGAACTTACCCTGCAAGTGAGCACGTAGGACAGCATGGAACAGTATAAGGCCTCTGGACAACCTAGTGAGCTTTGAAATCTCTCAAGTACCAACCTCTTAATCAGCGAAGAATTATTTCTGTTTGCTCGTATGCCCTTCATTTTCGCTCGCGGCTGTTCATGGGAGCCCAAAAATGTCCAATTTTGCGGCGTTTTGGATTACAAAACTGCATCCGTTCGGCTGACTATGGACCCCTTCAGGACTCTAGGGGGGCATGGCGTCGTGCCCCCCTTAGCTCTGGATCTGCCTCTGGTTGCAGCCATCCATTGCTCACCCGCTCAAATTAACCCAAGCCGCTAGTTCCGAGGTATGTTTAACAAAGCGCTTTACACCTATACTTTTTGGATGATTATTGGCAAAAATCGCCGAATGAAGTCGGCTTCCATGGGTTTATTCAACCTCTGAAGGTCAGAACAGAGAGAATAAACACGTTGTCAAGGTCTTTATATTATTAACAAAGGTACAGCAATATAAACCCTAAAAAGCCAGTTAATACAGGTGTGCCGTAGATGCAAAACCACTCCGTGGAGAAACGACAGAGATTCACTGCTTTGGACGCACTATCAAAACCTATCGTCAAAATTTATCTGAATGGCCTACTGACCGCGATAAACAACACGCGTTCCATCTGGAAGCGAATGCCAGCTCACAGTCTCACAACTCGCGTGGTCTGCATCGCTCACGCAACATGGGCCCCTCCGTCAACAGCCCGGACCCTTACAATCCCTTGCATGACATAAATCTCCAGAGGATCGCCGCAAGCCCTGCGCGATTGCTGTGGACAGGCACAAAGGTCGCCGCGGCCATCTCGCGGGAAGGCACAGGATCGCCACCACGATCCCGCCAGCGGGCATACGATCGCCGCCACCGCCCAACACCGGCCGTGCTGTGCGCAGTACCGCATCTAGTACCCTATGCCCGCCAGCGCCTGCTGCAGCTGGTTGATCTGGTTGACGGTGTTCTGGATCTGCGCCTGTGCCTCCGCCAGCGCGCTCTGGATGGTCTGCGCCACGTCAGGTCCCACCGGGGCGCCGCCACTCTGGAAGCCGGCGCGGATGCCGAGGCCGTCGGGGCCGACGCTGCCTGCCGCCGCCGCGCTCTGGAAGCTGGTATGGGTACCGCCCGGGTGTCCGCCCACGGTCGCGCTCTGGAAGCTACCGCCGCCAGTGGTGCCTTGGAAGGTGGTGGCCGTGCCCAGGCCGCCCGGGAAGGCGGCGCCGGTGGACGAGCTCTGGAAGAAGGTGGTGCCGCCGACGCCTCCAGCCGAGCCTCCACCGAACCGGGTGCCAAGGCCACCACCACCTGCAGGAGCCAAGGCGTTGAGGGGGAGGGGGGGGGGGGGTCAGTACTGTCGGCTCTGGGGCAGTCCAACGGCGCCTGGCAACGAAATCCATCTCATCACCGTTGATGCGCCATGGGCAGACCGGCTTACCTCGCCTCGGTTATCACGAGGAGTTCGCGCCAAAGAACCTGAAAGACTAACATCTACGACGACATAAAACGGTGGCGGCTGGCCGAACGTCAGGGGGCGAGTAAGCAGCTGGGTGCACTGGGAGACGGACGGAGGGGAGGGGGGCATGGCGTGATGGTGCAGGGAGGTGATAAGGCGAGCATGGCGTGAGGGTACAGAAAGGTGGTGGGGCGAATATGGCGTGATTATACAGGAAAGGAAACTGACCTCCAACGCTCATGCTTTGGCTATTGACAATGTTGGCCACGTTGCCGCCCGGCCCGTACACTTGCACCTCCAGGGTGTACTGGCCGGAAGCCCCGTCCTGCACGTTCGTCAGAACCACATTGGACGACGACGACGCGGCCCTCTGGAGCAAGACCAGAACTACATCAGAACGAGCTTCCTACGACACGTCTGTGGAGATGACGTGCGTCTAAAGTGACGGGTGAACTTGGTCAGCCTGCTTATAATGCTGAGCACTATTTTACGCGAGGGAATTCACTCAAGTTAATTTTCATACACTAGTCAAGCGAGGCGAACACCATCTGCGTCTCTTGAGTGTCACCCGTGGGCCACGCTATTTGTGCCTCTGTGAAGCGGTCATGGCTACTCACTAGGTCAATGATGGCCCAAGGTCGGAACCAACGATCGCTAAAAAGGCGCCCCAAAGTACAGCCCCAAAAGAAACCTTTGCTCCAGTGATAAAAATTCTATCATTCTGCCCGCCCTCTCAGAGCTTTGAGTAGACTGATGAAAGACATGTACTGGTGCAAGTCAGACTGGGTGGGTTTCCGCGTTTTACAACGGATGTATTGAAAGCGCTGATAACAAGTCACGTGAATCGCTGGCTAACATTTTTCGCAAGCCGTTCGGTGAAAAAATAGTTTTTTCCCGCAACATATCATCGATCCACAACGCCCCTGACACTCTCTGAACCACCTACGTCGATATTGATTCCGTCGACGGGCGTCCAGTTGTAGAACTCGTCGGGCCTCTGTGAGTACGACATGAAGACGTTTCCGTCCTTAAACCACCTCATCTTCTTGATGTACTCTCCACGGCCCAGTCTATAGTCGGCTTCCAGGTGCACGGTCGACCCGTAATCGGGGCTGCCAGGCACCGAAAACCCGGACAAGACGAAGCCGTGGCCCGCTGCCAACAGAAGGGAGCATGTGTGTGCGTGTGTGTGAGGATGGACAACACTCAGTTCAACTTGGTCTCAACTCACTTCATGTTATGGAATTTCACCATGGGCTGGTCAGCGAACCTCCTCAGTGAAGTCATGAGCTCGCGCGAGCACGTAAACAACCGGTCTGGTCTGGCAGAATGCCAAAGCTCGACTCTCCACTGTGCAGCGCGGTAGCTGCAATGCTAAATATACCATGACGGCGAAACGCGCATGTTGAAACATTGATTAACACACGGCGGCCTGAAACTTCCCACGAGCGGGGTACAACAAATCCTTAACTACTGGCTGCCACATTGCGGGTGGATTACGGGCATCGCGCGGGCGCGAAGTCGCCAGCAGGTCAGATCGGACAAATCTATCCGCAAAATCATCGCCGGTTCTCAAACCGGAAATGACCGAGCACCGGAGCGTGGTTTCGCAAAGTGAGTTGGGAGGAGAGGTTGAACAGCGCAAAATGACTCAACCTGCCCCGAGTAACACCAGCAAACGGTTTCATCTCCCGATTTGGGCTTCTCTCTTTCCGAAATTGTGGAGCAAATGGCAGTGTGGCGTTTCATCTGAGGTAAATGTTCTGTTTTATTTACACTGCGTGGGCGTAGACAGATCTTTGGCAATGGATGGAGGAAGCGCGGGGAGGGGGGGGGGGGAGAGGAGGAGAGGAAATTGGTTGGCAAAGGTCCTTCTGATTGTGATCAATGCCCCCCCCCCCCCTCCAGTCCAAAATTTGTAGCGACAAGTTCAACCCATGTTCGTCTGGAAACATAAAACGTTCAAAATGATGTACTTTGGGTTTTGACCATGCACGCTCACAAATCTTAGCAACAAAAACCTGCGCACCCGGCGTTACGGTCTCCAGGGGCCGCGCGGCGTCGGCCCTTACCCTACGCTACGGCTAACACTCAGCGGTAGCCAATGGGCGGACGAAAGTGACAACGCATCCAGAAGAAGCTTTTTGAACTCTTTAGGATATCAAGTCTACATTTAGAAGGTAGCCCGGGCGACAATCTCGCCTGTTTCATTTCTAGCTTGCTAGTAAGAACGGAATAGCCTTTACAGCACCGCTACGTGGTGGTACAATTTTTGGGTGGAGCTGGAAAATTAAAGGTACAATCTATACTTCTCGTGTTTTGCAATTATTAACCGACCAGACCTGCTGGTGTCTTCGTGCCTACGCTTAGTCCGTAATCAGCCCGCAGTGTGGCAGGCGGTAGGTTTAGATTGCGCCACGCCCATGGTGTATTTTTAGACGGCCATGCTTAACTACGCCAATCTTTCAATATACGCCAGAGCCAATGCAATTTAATAATATCACCGGAGCAACGTCACCGGAGCACCAGAGCTGTCTCATTGCGACAAATATGCATATTTTTAGGCCCTTCCGGATGCTAATGTACAAATTCCTTCTTTCAGATTATGATACAAAGCTAGCGATTGTCTTTACAAAATGGCAGTTAAGTTGCATTATGACTACAATTATTAATCAAAACTAACAAATACAATCGCTACGATGGGGCAAACCTGAGATCTTATATGTTTTGGTATAATCCTATCACCCAATCTGCTGCAATAGAGCCTTGGGAACCCCCGCAGTTACCGCCGACCGGCCGACGGTGGCGCCCCATGCGGCCGCTGGCCGAACTGGCCTGTTTGCGACCGATTGTGTATCTCTGCGTCGGCGGGACGCCAGTGGCCGGCGTCGGTGACAGTGCCGCAATCAGCTCCAGACAGCGTCACTCCCGAAACGCGGGGTGAGTATGCCAGACACTCTCGTGCATAGCTGATCAGAGCCCGGACTTACTCGTGTGGTTGAGCAGTGCTGGAGTGGGTGGGGTCCACACCCTACTTGCTTTTGTACAGCCTTAGTAACTTCCGTCCGCAGGGGTACAAAATTTCGCCCCGGATATGCCTTTCCCATTTTCGTGGGCGTGTAGCTCAGAAACTAGAGGGGCTTAGGTTTTAAGAAGGGCAGAATTGTGAACAGCGTCGAAAGGTCTTCAAGAAAGCTATTTCAGACCAAAACCCCACATGAATATGGAACATGCCCTTTAAGGGAGAGGGCTACGCGCCGTGACGTCATTTCCTCCGATTCGGTATATAGTTCATCATCATTAATGCGAAGTGCACCTTCTGCGCCCCCCCGAAGTTCGTGGCTGATACCTGGCCTTATCTGGCGTTATCTGGCGCAGATATCTGGCGCTTGTCTGACATCATCTGGACTTTTGTTAATGAGCCAGAAGCGACATGTTGGTGCCCATTATCAGCAGCGTTATGAAATGTTTCATGTCGCAGCCAAACTATGACGTTTCAAGGAGCATATGCACTAATAAAAGGAAATTGTGTTGTTTAGGGCAGTCTTTTCCACTCAAAAGAAAACAAGGCATAAATGAGCTTATTTCGTCACATCTGAAGCTTGCTTCAATATCTTCAAATGTGGAACATGTACATGCCCCCCCCCTTAAGCCCCTAAGAGGCTCATAGGCTCCGCATGGGCTCATAACCGGCCGGACGGGCGCGTTTTTCTGACACAAGGCACAACACAATTGGACGTCTTTGGACCTCCAGACGACCAAGAACAATCACACGCAAATATGAAGAACCTGAGCAGAGAAAGATACTTCTTCGCTGATCGAGAGGGCGGTGATTGGAAATATTTCGAGGCTCATTACGCTTTCCAGAGGTCCTTCACTGTTGCCGGGGGCCCCATGTGTCCACTTGCCAGGCCAATCCGATGGCTAAGGACCCTTCCATGTTGCCCTTGCGCGCTGCATGTGTTCTGGGGGCCCTACGCTGCTGTTGGGACACTATTTGCTGACATGATTCTTGCCATTCTCCCGAAAGGCTCTTCGCGCTATTGCTGGGGCCTCATCTGCGCGCAATAACGCAGCGAGACACTCGATACTGAGGGATCCTCTGCATTGATCTAGGACTCTTGCCCTTTAATCTCACTCGCCTAGGACCCTTCGCTGCTATCGGGGCTCTTTCTCTTAACCCGCCCGGGCACTCCTGAACGCCCAGTACATTTATTAATGTACACTGCTCCTGAGTGGTATCCTTTTTCTTTATTTTGTTTTTTTAAATTGTTTACTAATGGTTTGTATGGGTGACCTCGGGTTCATAGTACCTGCCAAGCGTACGTTGTTGGGTGCACCCTGAACCCACCACCCAAGTCGTACCGTCCAGATCAACGAATAATTTCGCCTCCATCCCTGCGTCTGAAAGGAATGCGGAGGGTTTGCACGTGCCGCACAATGCTGCGACACGGCCGCCCCGGGCCAGGGTTGACCCTCGTTGGCCAGTTGCCAGCTGACCTTCTCATTTCAGTCGGGCCAAACAATGCGCCCCCTCCGGGACCCGTACCCAGTGCCGCTGGATTACGAGCCCAGCATCTTTCTCCCATACCACGGAGGCGGCTCAAATGGCTCTAGGGTCCTTTGCTCAAAGGGTCCAGTGCTCCGGCCAGGATCCAATATCTTAGCCCGCCAGGGCACACCCAGTCTTTCAGGGGCCCACCACGTTGGATTTGGCTTCTTCTCACTTGCTCTGAGAACCCTGTATTTTGACAGAAGCCCCTTTGTTGGCCTGCTGTGGCACCCTCGATCGCTCATGTTCCGTTCCTACGGGCCTTGAGTTTTCCCATACGATCGGAGAGCCTACGCCGTTGACGGGGACCTAAACTTTAACCAGCCGGGGCACTATTGTCCGCTCCGGGCCCTCCACCTTGGCCATGAGCTCTCCCGATGAAATCAGAATGATGCAACTATTGCCGACAGCCCCACGTGCGTTTGCGAGCGCCAGGGCGTCTCGCCTAATCGTGTGCACGGGCCTGGCTTAATTACTTCACGTACACAAGTCTGAGACTGCATGGTAGCGATCTACCTCAGCGTGTTAGCGCTGGAGCAGGAATCGGATGTGGGCCGATGAATTTTTACGCGCAAATGTACACAATTTTGCGCACCTCCGACGTGGCGTACGCCATTTCCTCTGGTTATTGAATTTGGCATTTATTATATTTGTGCATCAAGCTCTCAAATGGTGCATGTGCATAAGTCACTAGCTATATTTGTCTGCTTGTGAGCCCTTCACTTTCGCTTGCGAAATTTCCTGGTTATCACGAAGCCCAAAGACATCGAAGTTTGTTGCGTGAGTCCCTGTGTGGCCCACTATGGGTCCCTTAAAGCCTGTAGGCTTTTTCGGGACTCAAGGGGGGGGGGGCATGGCCGCGCGCCCTGCTCCCCTGGATCCGTCACTGGCATCACGTCCCCACCACCTCGCGTGACGAACTCGTCGGGCAGTTACCTGGCCTGTATACAACCAGCTTCAAGGCCGCGGTCTCCGATTGGCGCAGGACCTTGCCCACGTGACATCGCACCTCAGCGCGACACGCCGACTGTGGTGACCACGGTGCTAAACGGACGGGCTGAGGGTTGAAGGTCTGGTCGTAACCACGATTCAGAGCTTGGGAGAAGGACAAAACGGGACCTGGGCAATGTAATCCGAACAGTGCTTTTGAATGACTTGTTAGGAAAAATGCATTTTGCGGCACAAATTTGTGGGGCCCAACGCTGCCAGAACATGCCACGAACGTGCCCCCAGCCCTCCCCCAACCATTCACAACCACTCGATTAAGTGCTAACCTTGATAATCGCACAACTTGATCTAAAAACAGATAGAACCGTCCTCTGAGCCCCATAGCTTTTGGGGTTCGGAGGAACATGAAGCGCGCAACCTAAACTAAAACAAATGAACCGTTCCCCCAAGCCCCATAGCTCGTGGAGACTCCTCGTCGCTGGTCATCGTCACTGGCCATGACCACAGTGACTGTGACATATTGCCGGCAGCTGTCGTGACTCCGGTGATCTTGACTTGCAGACACTGATGTTCAGCGCGAGGAGAAGCCGACATTCAACAGGCGATAGCGACGCAATCTGATTTCAAAGATGGAGCCGCGGGAGCACAAGATGCTGGAGACTCAGCTGACCCGGCTCACGGCCGAGGTTGACGCCTGGATTCAGCTTGAGCCTGAACAGTGGAGCTCCGAAACATTGACTTCGATCCTCTGCGACCTCTTATGTCTGCATACCAGTCTCACCAAGAGTCATGTAGAAACTGCAGCCCCACACGAGGCATCGTTGGCCCGCAAGTTGAGCCCCGACGGTCTTGGCAGCTTGCCAGTGCTACTGCCGGCGAGCTTAGCCAGCTGCACATGCGTACGGCAGTGCAAATTGGCTGTGGAAAAGGATCTACCTGTCTGGCAGCGTGCGCGAGGGCTGTAATGTGGCAAGGGCCGATTGCAGCCTCTCCGATACGGACATCATGCTCCAGCTGTGCCAAGTCACGGTATTGGAGGGGTCCGGATCGGCTACTGAGGTCTCAGACCAGTTCGATGACAGGACCCCGGACCGACCTCGTGGCGTGGACCCGCATCCGTCCGATGACGTGGTCCCAGGCACGTCCGGTGCTGAGGTCTCGCAGACGGGCATCGTCTACAGCGAGGAGCCGACCGCACACCACGGCTTTGTGCTGCTGCACCTGCAGCATCGGGCCAACTGCCGTTCCACCGATGATATGCTGCTCTCCGCCCAGCACGTGGTGCGTCTGATAAGCAGCCTAAGCGAGCCGCTTACCTCCTTCTCGGCACCGTGCTTTTCCGGCCCGGCAGCGTCCACCAGGCTGCACTTCAAACAGACGCACAATTCAAATATAACCGGCTGGAACAGCTTCGACCTGGTGCCGTGCTTGCCGTACCCAAACTGGCAGAGTGCGGAGTACAGGGCGCGGCCGCGGCCGTCCGGCCAGCCCAGCGCGGCGCTGGTGGCGCGCCTGTGCCGCACGCCCGCCTTCCTCGTGCCGGCCGGCTTCCCCGGTAGCACCAGCGAGCAGCACGAGTGGCGACTCTCGTTCTCGCGGCACGAGTACATCGCCTACCGCTCCATGAGCGCGACGCAGCGCGCATGTCTAACCGTGCTCAAATACTGCAAGTCGATTCTGGGCGAGGCGGCGGCCGAGCTGAAGAGCTACCACCTGAAGACGGCGCTGCTCTGGCTGTGGGAGACGCTGCCGGCGGCACGGTGGTCGACACGGACGCCGCACCAGTCGCTGCTGGCCATCCTCGACTACCTGCAGGATCGGCTGCGGGTCGGCTCGCTGCCGTGCTACTTCCAGCCGCAGATGGACGCCTGGGCGGGCCGGAGCCAGGCCGAGCTCCGCCGGCTGGCGGCGTCGCTGGCTGCGCTGCGGGCTGGCCTCGGCCCCGCTGCGCGTGCCCTGCTGGCCGGCGCGATCGACCACTTGACGGTCGGCAACGACGACGTCATGTTGGAGGGTTCCGACACGCTCAGTGAGCCCATTCACGAGCTGATCGAGCGGGTGGTGATCCAGCGGCCGGACCTGGCGCACTGGGTGGGAGAGCTACCCATGGAAGACCTGGTCGTGGAAGGGGAGAAACTGTACCGGCGCCTGCCTGTGCTGCCTGGGTCGAAGGCGGAAAGCCTACCCGTAGACCCGTGCTGCAAGGGGGACAGCTGGCTGGATGAATAGCAAGAGTACCTCCTCCGAACAGCCTGCCACTGTCGCGTCATGTCGCGGTACCTGTCGAGGTGCCTTGACCAATGCGCGCCACCAATCTGCAGTCATGGATCATTCATAGCGAGGAGTTCTTGTAGCGGAGTTCACTGTACACGAAACCAAGTGTCGAATTTTCCTGATCCTTTAAGACGATTGGAATGCTACGGATATGACTTCATCCTTGCAGAGCTACGTTCATATCCCTCCCCTTTATAATAGTTGCGACAAGGTATGAAGTCATAAGGAACTTCAAAGCAAGCAAAAAGCTTAACCAAACACGGCATACAGAATGACTATGACTCTGCATCTGCATCTGTATCTCGTGCTTCACTCGCAAACGCTAGTTCCGCGGACACTTTGAACGTGTTTGGTCCCCAAGCAAGGTTGATAACTAGATAGATTGATAACAAGATTGATCACTAGTTAATAACTAGCGCCTGCCGAATCGCCGATACCGTTGTGCGCTGAGCATAGAGTGGAATCCGTTATTACCGTACGTTTTTCGATGTTGTGTGCAAATCGTGGACCGCAGATATCTTATGAAATGCTGAGAGATCGTATATCTAATACGCATTAGAATACAAGACACGAGAAACTACACATTCACACGAACTAAGAGTCTGTCGAAGGTCCAAAACATCGCCACTCTGGAAAACCCCATCACCCTACGGCTTAACTATGATGCGCGGCTTCTCTCTCCCTGGACTGGAAATCCCGGCGACGACACCCCGCTAACAACGTCGCCAGGTACCAACACTTCTTTTTCTTCCCAAACAGCGCCACGCACGCCTCAAAGGCGAACCGGATTGTTTTAAAGCACGATATCTATTTTGCCAGGCCTGCGTCTGCCCAAACGAAGCGTAACAGAGACGGCTATTATGCTCGTTTGGTCGGGTTGTCGGGAAGGCCCGGTTTGACGCAGTCCACGTCCATGACACGTACTAACCTGACCACGGGGTGGTCATCAGCCGTGGACCGAGGGTCAACAGTCATCGCCCACTGCGCATCCGGGATAAAAAGCTGAACATGATGGCGATGACGCGGGTTTGCTATGGCTGCAATACGTTTAGGACCTGTTGGATAGGGCAAAACTTTGCATGACATCTCAATCGCATTAATTCGTACATAACGTTTAACACGAATGCCTTCGTATTGCATCTGTCCATATATGCACCATTGAAAACGAATCACCGCAGTAAATTTTGACGGGCGTAAACTTCGTTCGCGCAGTCGTGCTTCGTTCGCGCAAACAGCCATGTACACATTTTTTTTTGTATGGAGAAACCTTATGCCCGCAAATCTTCACATTGCATTTCTATGTTCGTGCTCGTTCCTTCGTCCTTCGTTTCTTTGCATACGCGTTTGTTTCGTGGTCTGTGTTACACTTTTTTGTCCCTAAAACGTCATACCCGCACCGCTTGTCTTGGCGCGTTCCCTATGCCTGTCTCTAAATCCAAATATCCGCATCGCAAACCCTCGCGTTAACACTTCTGCGTGCGAACATTCACAAATGCACAACTTATTGCACATGGGAAACCATATAGTAAGAATTTAAGTTACTTGCGCAAAATTTCAAACATGTTTTCGTATCGCATATTCCTCCGAGGAAGGCTCGAAATGCGTGTTTTTAACGTTTTTTAATGTGTTTTTAACTTTTCCGTGTAGATCATTTTTTGTCCTCGCAGCACATTTCTACGCACATGCACTATTTTGCATTAAATTTCTTCGAGCACGCAATTTTTTTCGGCGCATTTTTGGCACACAATGCTTCGTTACGCACTGCTGCGTAAAAGGTAATTTCGTACCGTTCTCTTTGAAGAAAAAAAGAGTATTTTTTACTGCCTCGCTTGCATCCTAAAGACCATAGACATGCGGGATGGCGCACTTCGTTGTTGGCCATGGAAAGGGTGTACTCGGAAATTTATCGAAAGTTATAATAACTTCCCTCCCCATTTTCCACTCATCTTCGGCCAGCACCCATCAGGATGTGAAAATTTCAGCAGGGGCATACGCTCGCGAAACACAAAACGCGCTCCGGAGGTGAAAACTGGGAAGACATCGACCAGTAAACATATTTTTTTTGTGTGGTTGATTTGTTCAGTCCTTATGATCGAGAAGCACCCTCGATTAGCAGTACGACATTACATGACATGACATGACATGACATTAGCAGTATTACGTGTTAAGGTATGTCTAGCACTTAACAAGACACCGCGATCAGGGATGATTAGGTCGTCCGACCGGTATTAGTATGGTATGGTAAAACCACATCTGCCGTCCACTCGTGCTAAACAACACCTGCGAGGCCACTTTAGTACGACAGTCACGTGCGACCCACATTGTCTTCGCAGACTGCAGACAGACTGCATGTTTGCCTAAATGACGCGACGGATGAGAGTTTATAGAACGGGTCGCGATGGGCCGCAGATTAAGGCCCCAAGCTGTTTGGACACGACGGCTCACGGCTCACTCGTGACCTTACTTGGACGAACTAAGTCGCTTAATGTGTGGACGAACTGAGTCGCTCTTGTTCCCTCTGCATTACTTAAGATTCATCCCGAGCACAGTTAGGTAAGAGTGGGGAAGGTGACCGTGAAGAGTGCTCTTAAGCGATGGGTGAATATAACCTCAGTTGGACGAGACCGACACTGCCATTTTGCAAACAACGCGTGCAAAACCTGGGCGGGGGGAGGGGTAGGGGATTAGGAATGGCAAGGAAGCAGCAACCCCCCCCCCCCCAACGCCAGGCATATCTAACGTTAGCCTATGGTGGTGCACGGAAAGAAATGTAGCAAAACCAAGCTTGCCCCCTCATCTCTACACTACAAAGGTTCTGCCGCCACTACTCTGTACTAACTGTAAAATAAGCTAGAAAGCGCCTGATTTTCCACCGCCGCGATCCAAATCAAACTTAGCTTTACATTTCAAACGAAATGGTAGCATAAACTTCAAAATCGTTTCAGTAAAGCTCGATTGGTTTCTGTTGCGTTGGTGTGTTGGCCGCGCTTACCGTGGTCAGTTGCGTGCACAGTTTCGCACGCCGAAACATAGCTTGAAACCAGGCGTTCCTTGTGATCATTTGCTGGATGATATCGAGGTAAAGGAGGTTAGGGCAAGCATGACCTCGTCGTGGCAAACCACGCTGAAAACGGTACAGTAATGCGCATGGTCTCAACCCGGATGCCCATGGCTGGCCGTGGCCACCACGCCTGCATACCCAGTGGCCTCGCAGACCCGACCTGCTGTGGGCTAACAGTCCAGCGAAGACCACGCAGCACCAGCCCCTCACAAGCGCCGCTCAGGCTTACCGTGGGCCAGAGCCAGCGCTGCTAGCACTGTCGTCCACATGGCTGAAGATACCTGCAGTCACCTCCCAGCCGCGCTCCACGGATCCACTGTCGCTCAGCGCCCGGGCGGCGCAGAAGCCGTCACGGATCACCCCTCCCCTCCCCCACTCCGGCCGCGCGGTTGGTCGAGGGGCGGTGACGTCAGAGGCCGCGGCCCGCGGCTGGGGCAGTCCGCACGGAAGGTATGAGCGAGGTGCGGTCTATTTACTGTGAGATGCGAAAAAGGAGAGGGGTGAAACAAGAGCCGCGGCTGAGGCAGGACGTGTCTGCGCGTGTCGGCGGGTGGCCAGTCCGCCAGATGTACACGCGCCTGGCTTCGCAGGTGCAGATAGCAGGTTCCTGCGGGCTGGTTTTCCCGACATCGCGGGTAGGGCTCGTCAGGTGCCGGCGCTGCCGACGCGCTGTGAAGCTTTTTATAGCGGGAAACACAACGCTTGTGACACGTGCCTTGTTGCGGCGGCAGCCTTACCGTTACGGGATCGAACTAATCTGGTTCAGAGGGTCTGTGACAGGTCTATACGCGCCATGTGTAAATGATAGAGCCCGAGTGGCGAGACGTATTGGTGCCAAATTAACATCACCGTCACACTCGTGCGTAACTCATCTGTCAGATAGATTTGCCGCGCAGGTTTCACGCGAGGCTTCTGGGATGTAGCGTGAGACAGGTTATAAGCCGTCGTTAATCACCTCAACACCCGACGATTCGAGCAAGCATGGTATAGGCACTTCAAGAGCAACAAACGATAGTTCAGGATGCCATCCATCCATTACCTTAATCATTTCTGAACGTTCTTCCCTTGTAACTACTTTAACGTTTGAATTACCACAAATCGCAGCACCTCGTAACATCTGTCAGGACCCTCCTCTTTCAGGTAAGCTTGATAGAGCCTGTCTTGCGTCGTTAGATATGCCAACAATATAGCATAAATTATATATCTATATATGTATGTATATATATATATATATATATATATATATATATATATATATATATACATGCATATAAACGCACAGGCACAACACACACACACACACACACACACACACACACATCTACGTATATATATATATATATATATATATATATATATATATATATATATATATATATATATATATATATATATATATGAATGAAATAACCAAAGAATGATTTACTACAGTAATGTGAAAATATATCTAATGAGCTACAATAATGCGAAATAAACTGTCAAATGATGTGAATTAAATGATGAAGATGAATGAAATAAAAGCTAGACATGATACGGACTGCGTTCCTTCGGGCATTGTTCCGGAGTTCTACACAATGACATCTCTGAGGCCTGCATGATGTAATCGGAATCTTAAGTGACCGATTCCTGTGACTGCCCTGCATGGAGAAGCATACATGAAAGACTCAGTTGGGCTTCATGCAGCTTGCAGCGCCACGCGGATGCCTCTCCCATATCGCCGAGAGCACTGATGGTTACCATCCCACGCTGCCGCACGTCCAGGGGTCAGGAAGGGTGGCTGCTCCAGTATGGGGGGAGGGGGGATTGGATGGTAGAAGGAGCAGGTGGCCCCTGCCCGCGGACAGAGTTGCAAATTTATGTTTTTGCTCTCTCAAATTTTTTTGAGAGGGCCCTCTTCCAAACCAAAAGCATTGCAGCTACCCGTAGATCACCAAAATTCAGATCCAAGAGGCGCCCAGAAACGAGCAAGAGAGTAATAAGCCGGGTTCGGAAGACCATTTTCCAGAACAAGGACAGAGGCCGGGGACATCACTTTGCATGCCTTCAGAGGGGGGGGGGGGAGGGGCAGGGGAGGAAGGGGACTGACTACCCTGGAATGCTCACTTGAGCCCCTCCAACCCTCCTCTGAGCCCCACAATGCGCATGAGCAAAGAATAACTACTGGGCCAAGCTAATGCAGAACAATTATCTTGTTTATTGGTATTCTAGGTGGTGGGTACCTAAACGCATCATAACTAGTAGCATGTAAATTTTATACTGACCGAAATCCTGTACGTGCCTGGTGTTTTTGCATGCTGATTCTTTCATATGGTAAGCCAGTCTGCAAATATTAGTCTAATTAGTCTATAAGTTGTCTAATGATAAAGCCTGTATTTGGATAAAGAACAAGGGACTTTAATACATGGCAACTTTTAAAACAACAGAGATGCCCAGATGAACGACAACGATGTTTTCCCAAACAGAAGCAAGGGTATTTGTCACATCGTTGCTGTATCGTAGCTGTGGTAGTTGTACAACACGATCAGTGACAGCGGTAGTCATCAGTGATCCCTTACAGTGGCGCAGGCATGGTGGGGGCGGGGGGGGGGGGGTGGAACAGGGGATACGTGCCCCTCTTAGGTTTCGAGAGACCCTTCGAGCCCCTCGAGGCCGATGATTTAGGGCCCAATTCGGGGGTCCAAAGCGTCCGAAAGACCGGCCGGAAGTCGTATGCATGGGCACTGGCCTGCAGGGCCGGGCATTCCAGTGTAAGCCAGAGGGCCCTTTGCGCCGATCGGGGCATCCTGAGTCGATAAAGGCCTACATGTCTATCAGATGCTATCAGGCACCCAGATACTACCAGTGCCGTACCGTCGGCTCCGTTTCTCCAGCAGGAACAATGTCGGGGCCAGCAAGTTGCCTCGGTTGGGCCCCAGCGTCTCAAGGGCCAATAGTGTCTAATAGGGTGCCCTGTGTTGGCAAGGGGTTCCGAGTCGGCCAGATAAGTTGTTTTAGGAGGCCCTAAGAGAGCCTGGAGCTACTGGAACCGACGATAAAGGGCCCGATTTGGGAACCTCAGGACACAAAGGGCTGGCCGGAGTCTTTTTCAGGGGCCCTGGTCTATTGGACGGGCGCTCAGATGACAGTCAAGGGACCCTGAAGTGGCTTAAGGCCGGAACAAACCAAGTGTTGTAAATTGGTTTGGTCGGCCATTTTGGCTGAGTTTCTCCAACTGATTTTAGAAAGTGACGCCCTCGATCAAGGGGATGCTACATTTCATCCTCCATTTCCGTGCAACAAATAGCACGCTAAAGCCATGCCAGAGGGGAGTCCAGGTACAACCGCAGGGGTGAAATTGCAATATACTTTTTTAAAACTGTAGCCATCATCGAGAGAAATGAACCCTCGTTTAGTTTTTCACAATCGGCACATTGGTCCTAAGATTCCAGGAAGGGAACGCGTGGAATTTGCCGCCTTCTCCCTTTCCAGAATGGGGGTACCGAGGAGCCCGCCTAGCTCCTCGGCAACCGCACTCTGAACCCACCTGTGGCTCTGAGGTAAGCATTTTGCCACGGAGGAACAGGGCAGAGATGAGGCGGCGACTGAGGCATGACGGGCAGATTATTGACAATCCGTCGCACATCTGACGTAACTCTTCCAGGGTGGCAAAAGCGCGCCAATGCACCTTAAACGGCAGAATAGCAAGGGGTGCGATGACGGGCAGATTATTTTCAGTCCGCCCCACGCCGCAATGTGGTCTTCCGCAATGTAATTGCGCTCTAATGCACCTAAAACACCCGGCTGACCAGGGGGCACCCGGATTTGAACCAGGGACCTCTCGATCTGCAGTCGAATGCTCTACCACTGAGCTATACCCCCCTGCTGCAGTCCTTACGTGCACATGGCCGAATTGCAATTGCCACACGTTCATACGACGGCCCCTTACCACAAGAGCTGTCATCAAAAGCAACCGCATCGCTCTACCGCCGGATGGCAGAAAGCGCGCCTGCCTACGGCCTATTATTATGCCGTAATGTCGCCCTCACATCCGCGAGTTACAAATCTGTCAGTTACGCCTCCACAACGGTGAACACCGCAATCCACGCACGCACTGGTAGGGGGCAGTGTTTCCGGGAGGGAGGTAGGTGGTCCCCCTCAAATTGGAGGGCCACTGGACAGCCCATTTTGGTACGTCAGAACTCTGACGCTTTGAACTGGAAAGGGATTATGGAATTGCCTGTAGAATTCCCCTCTGCCCTGTCGAAGGCTCATTCTGGTCTATTTGGAGCCCACCCTGACTAGCAGAGGGCAGTTCTTAGTCTGCAAAGGGGCCGTTTTAACCTGCAGAGGGATTTTTCTGGCGTTTAGAGATACAAAAATGTGTATTGGGCACCTCCATTTGGTGCGATATGTGGTGCCCGCATCACTGCATACTAGCACAACAGCAATGAGCCTCAGTCCACACACTATGCAAAGCGAAAATAACACGGGAAATTGCTCAGGTGGTTCATGTCACCTGCACTCCTCTCGCTGAACAGTGTGAACCGAGTCTGCTGTCTAGAAGGCCAATCATGCTGCTTAGAGGGCTCATTATTGACTGCTGAATGTCCATCTTGACCTGCAGAGGCCCATTTGAGCTGAAGATGGCATTGTCGACTGTGAAGGGCCTATTCTGGCATGCAAAGGTCCATTCCTATTTGCAGAGCAACCCACATTGACCGTAGAGTGCCCATTCTGACCTGTAAAGAGCCCATTCTGGCCCATAAACGGCCTATTCTCATCTGTAGAGGGAATTTTGAACTGAATTTTGAATCTGTTGAGTTGAAGAGAGCCCATTCAGGCTTACAGGAGTCATTCTGACTGAAGTAGGCCCAATCTGGCCGGTAAAAGGTCCATTCTAATCTGTACATGGCCCATTCTGACCTGAAGAGGGTCTTTTGTTGACTATTGAAGGCCCATCTTGGCCTGTAGAGGGCCTATTCTGACCATTGCAGAACCAATAATGGCCAGTGAAGGACCCATTCAGAGCTGTAGAGAGAATATTCTGACCTGTAGAAGCGTCATTTATGCCTCAAAATGCCGTAAAAGAGATCCTGTGTCGGAAAGGGGCCCCGAGTCGGCCAGGGGTAGTGTTCGAGCGCACACGGTGTGGGGGTAGAAGGGTCCCTCGTGAACGACGATCAAGAGACAGAAGGACTCGCTGTAGGTCACACTGAGGACGGTCCGTTGGCCTGGGATATCAAATGCCAATCAATTGGCCTATTTCACAGATTGGAAACTCTCTGGGACAATGCGGATCTCTATTTCGCCCAGAGATCACCAACACCAAGCAGCCG